TTTCATGCATTAATTATTTGACTATTTGACTATCCGTCTATCTTACATCTCGTCAAAGAACAATAAATCACGTTTATTCATTGCACATTAGGCACATGTCTTTAATCAAACCATGTACAAACTAGGTTCACTCGTTCCAAATCATTTCATATTTACCTTGAACTAAAATCAACTGATGCATCATACTTAGATCCGTTTTCACAATATATGATTCTCTATTAGATTAAAGGTTACCAACAATGAAATTCATTCATGAATTTCTTGGTTACCTTTAATCTTTAGGTAACCATACAGTGTGAAATTGGGCCTTACAGTGCTGTAAACGTATTCTGCTATAAACGTAAACTGCTATTTTTATAATTTCAATAATTACTTGTTATTTATTGTATTAATTAAAAAATTTTACATATTTAAGTATATAAAAGAACAGCTATTATTTACAATACAGATCTACTTAAATAATATTATTATATCGAAAGAATTTTGTTTTTTGGCGAGATTTAAATAAGCGCTCAGGGACTCCTAAATTGAGCGCAAACACATGTTTTAACACATTTCGATCTAATCCATTCTAACTCTCTTCAAGTGTAATTAATTCTTTAACAAATGTATGAATCACTAAATGTATAATAATTTACATGCTATTAATCACAAAAAATCAGTAGGTTTAGTCTTGACAAAGCAATATACAGATAACTGACTAAATAATCGAAAAATCTCGATAAAGCCAAAGAATAATAATTTAATATTTATAGAACAATTATATAGTTGTATAATACAACAATTGTATAATACAACAATTATTGTTGTATTATATAAGAAAGACTATTATAGATAGGAAGAATATTATAAATAGAAGAATAAGGACATCAATAATAGGATAGTGTAACGATAGTTGTGTAGAGTGTGTTGCAAGAAGTGCATAGTATTCCTAGCAACAGACCTAGTGTCCTAAGGATGGTACTGCTTTATCGGTAGTCGTGTTGAGTTCAGCCAAATCGCCTGACATCAAAGAAACGTAAGCCAGCGATACCTTTAACAATCACTATTACATCTTATCACTGAAACAATGTATATGAATGTCATTTTCCAACCGAATTTTCTGTTCATATGTACACGTACTATTTAAGATAAACTGCAATGCGACAATTGATAAAAATTACAACAAGCACCATATGTTTTGATTATTTTGTTTGTTCTCGCCTCGAAATTTCAAAATAATAATCGACCATAAACCATTGCTTTAATGTCAATTTTCTTCATGTTAACAAAATACGTTTAAGACAGATAATACTTTATATAAACTTTCATTAGCTAATTTTTTTTTATTTAATTGACAAATAATATTTGTCTTCCTAGATTAGATTCCTCTTTTTCTTATAAATTAGTTTTACAAAATTCTACAAGATTGTTGTAAAAATTATATAGCCTTCATTCAAGAAATTGAACTAAATATTGCGTTTTAATACTATTCGTTCTTAATATCGCATTCAACAAGTTATTGAATATTTCAGTCAGAAGAAGAACATTTGACAGTTCTTGTCATTCGTATATACAAATTGAACTTCAATACTATTCAACTATTTTTATTATATTTTTATCGTGTTTCAAAGAGTTAGCTAGCTATAATTAAATTTAATTCAATCGACATGTCTATAAATATGTTGTCTTAAGCAGAGTTAGGAAGTAACGTATTACTTGTAACATTTCATTATTTTTTTTCAGTAACGATCGTTACTTTTTTCTGTCTTTAACGGTAATGATATCGTCATTATATTTTTGCAATAACGATGACGATTTAGTTGTTATTTTTCATCATTACTTTAATTTTTATTGGATGGGTCGGATTGGATCATATTTCGATATTGCTAGCGCTGAAAGATGTTTCGCTTTTGTATACTTACAAATGTACTTCTAATTACCCAAGATGTGTCGTTGTGTGTGCGCGCGCGCGCGGGCGCGCACGTGTGTGTGTATGTGCGTGTGTGTGAGTGATAATAAATGAACAAAATACTTAAAATATTTTTAAATACTTGTGTAAGTTTATAAATATACATTTTGCAATTTAATATTATATTAAATATTATATAATAATATTATTTGCAATAAATATAAAATGTGTTTACTCTTTTTCATTTTTATTTTTAAAAAAATATTTATACTTTATATTTTAGACTGCATTTCGGTAGTTACTATCTCAGTGTTGAAAAATCTGTAATTTACATTACATATATTCTAGAGATTTTCAGTATTGGAAGTGAATCTTGAAATATATTCTTAATAATAATATTAAAGTTTAAAAACAATTTTTAATTTAAATTTGATAATTGTGGAATTTAGCTCCCGACGATTGTCTTCCTACCAGATTCAGTCGATTTTTTTGTGCATCAAATAAGCCTAATTTTATCAACATCGTATGTGAGGGAGTTAACTTAACAATTTCCCAAAAAGTAACGATTTGTTAGTTTTTCAAGTAACAGTAACAGTAACGCGTTAGTTTTTAAAATGAATAATTAGTGGTAATAATTAATGGTAACGAGTTATTTTCAACAAAAAGTAACGCGTTATTTTTTTTAAGGTAACGTTTCCAACTCTGGTCTTAAGTGAACAAATGCTGCTTGTAAAATTATTTATGCGACTAAGTACTAAAATAAAATTAAAGAATAAAATCTATCAAGAAAGCATTAATTCCTTTACCATAAAAAATATCAATTAAACTACATCTTTTAAAATAAAATTTAAATACAATAGTAAAACCAAAAATCGAAAAAAGAATTTTTAATAAATGTTATGAAAAAAAAAAAATATATATATATATATTGTATATATATATATAAAACGACAGACTTAATTCAACTCAAATATTACAATTATTTTATAAAAATAAAATGATTGTTTAGGAATACTGTACAATAATATAATCAAAGTTAGATTATTGTAAATTTATAATAGTAGTTTTTCCCACACATTGTCCGTACATATAGATATGTAGAACAAGCACCGTGACCAAGCAACTCTTTTCGTACATACAATCGATGAAATTAGAAAATTTTCTACTACAATATAAATTTTCGTGCGCAGAACACAAAAACAAAAAGAAATAAGAACAGCTATACAGGAAGATTGTGTATCTCGTAGGCAAAATGGAACATGAAGAATATGCGGATGTAAAAAGACAAATATAAATAGTATAGTAAATGGTGAAAATAGAATGACGATAAGAAGAAAGAGAATGATGAGAAAAGAGAAAAGTTAAAAAAGGAGGAAGAAAAGATAGAAGAGCTGTAATAGAAGGAAACGTATATGCACACAAGAAATGCAGGCATATAGATAGAGTCGCCGCTGTCATGATCGCCATTACTATCGCCGCTACCGCTGCCACCACCACCGCCGCCATCACCTCCGCCGCCACCACCTCCGCCGCCATCACCTCCGCCGCCACCACCTTCGCCGCCACCACCTCCGCCACCGCCACCGCCGCCACCGCCGCCGCCG